CTTGTGAAAGGGAAGGGCAAAGCTGCTGGTAAGGATGTGATGATTCTCTTTGACTTTGGTGCTACACATTCCTTTATATCTTATGCATGTGCTGCTATGTTGGGTGTGCCTGTGTGTGATTTGGGGTTGAGACTGCTTGTGTCGACGCCCGCTTCTACTTCGATAGTTGCTTCTGAGTTGTGTGCTAGTTTCCCGATTGTGGTGAATGAGAAGAAGTACAAGGTGAACCTGATTTTTTTACCTTTGGTGGATATTGACATAATCTTAGGGATGGATTGGTTGTCTGTAAATAGCATTCTTATAGATTGTGCCAATAGGCAGTTGATTTTTCCTCAGGAGGAGGATGAGCTGTTGATTTCAGCTGGCCAAGCTGAATCATTGCTAAGAGATGGAGCAGAGTTCTGTCTTTTGCTGACTGCTTTGAGTGTGGAGACCGAGAGGGTCTTAGCTGATGTTGATGTGGTTAGGGATTTTGCAAAGGTGTTCCCTAATGAGGTGTCGGGGTTACCTCCTGTTAGGGAGATGGAGTTTAGCATTAACTTGGTTCCAGGAGCGGGGCCAGTGTCGGTGGCTCCCTATAGGATGGCTCCTACTGAGCTGGTCGTATCACAAGAGAGACAATGGAGCTTCTACTCGAAGACTAAAGATCAAGTGTACAATTTGTTAGCCTTGTTACCCAATAGAGTATGCAACTGCTCTAAAGGGTGAGGATACGAGCAAATACACTCTAATCCCTTTCTTCTTTTTGGTTAATCACTCTTATCTAATAATCTTCCATTATCTATTTAGAGTTTAACTATTATATCTTTTGATGATTAAGTCTTCACATAATCTTCATTTACTTCTCTTTTTTTTTTAAGACTATCTCCATTTAAAAATAACAACAAAATAAAATATGATTATTCACGTCATTAATTAAATACAGAAAGAGCGGTTGGTAAGAGGAATTATGAATCTTAAGAATTACAAATTCAGAAAATTATAATTCTTGAGAATGGTTAAAATATGTTTAATTATTTATAAAAGTTTTCAAAAATATTCATACAGTATTTTTAAGAATTAAAGATTTTTATGTTTAATTACAATAATATATTTTTTGGTATATAAATATTTTTTTTTACAAATACATCCTTTATTAAAATAAAGTCATTAGATATATTTGTTTACTCAAATTTTATTACAAATAGGACATTAAACTATTTTTAAAAGTTGAAAACTTATTAAAATTATTTAAATACAAAATTCAACAAAATAAAATAAAAAATAAAAATGCTACATCATAATTAAGAAGAATAAAAATATATTATTTTATTTCATTCAAATAAAAAATAAATAATCATAATAAATATTATTAAAACATAGAAACAAAATAAATTTTAATAATATTATTAAAATTGTCAAAGTCAATAAATAACAAGATATAAGAGAGAGAGAGAAAGAGAGAAATAGAGATATGAGAGGGAGAGAGAGGGGGGAGTGGGAGAGCAAGGGAAGAGGGAGAGGAAGAGAGGGTGAGTGAGAGTGAGAGAGATAAAGAGGGAGAAAGATAAATAGAAAGAGAATAAGAGACAAAGAGGGAGAGAGGAAAAGAGAAGAGAGTGGGAGTGAGAGAATAAAATGACAAAAAAAAATATATTTTTTATTTTAAAAAAGGATATTATAATCTTTTAATATACATTCTCTTAATTTAGAAAAGTTAAGTTTTCACTTCCTATATAAATTTTTTTGTGGAAAAGTGAGATAAAAATAATTTTCATAAAATTACATTTCTAAAAATCTTGTTTTTTATTTTTTCTAAAATAACTACCAAACATTAAAAATTAAAATTCTCAATTTAAATTTTTTTTAAAAATATAAATATTTTATATACCAAACATCCCATGAAAGTAAGATTAACTCTACCAATTGTACTAGTAAACACCCCCCTCGGCCGGATCCTAGGCCGAAAGGTACTTTTGGCCTGACAAGAGGCCCGAGAGAAGCATCTCAACCGACAAGTCTTCATCCAAACCAAACATCCCTTCGGCCATGACAACAGCCGAAGGGTGACTACCCCTCTCCTCGGTCGAACGGATGACCGATTACCCATCCCACAAGGAAAGGTAGAGGACTATTCTGAAAATGGGCAAGAGAACATCAAGGGAATACGTTTGAGTCACTCCTTCGGCCTTGAACGAAATCGAAGACCCCCTCGGCCTCGAACGTGACCGAAGACCCCCTTGGCCTCGAACATGACCGAAGACCCCTCGGACTCGAACGTGATCGAAGACCCCCTTCGGCTTCAAGCTCGACCGAACTCCCCTCCGGCCCTAAGGAAGGCCGAACACCTAAGCAGATGAAAATAACCGAATACCCCTTTCTGCCAAAAGTTTGGCCGAAAACCCAGAAGAGTGTAAACCCACATGGGACAAAGGTAAGTTAGGTTATCTATTATACAGTGCTTATTACGCCTAATTAAGAAAGATCAAGCTTAATCAAACAATTACCCATCTCCCAAGGCAGAAGGCCCACCAGGCCCAAACACGTCACTATAAATACACAGGTGATGGGACAGAAAGCAGATATGATTTATCTAGTATAAAAGTCTTTATTGCTCTATACCGAACACTTATTTGAGCGTTAGAGTGTCTTTGCAGGTACCCTCCCCACCCTTTGGAGATAGTATTCGGTCGGCACCAAAGACTTAGAAGATCGTAAAGGAGGAACAACAAGAGGAGTGTTTCTAAACAGGAACACCAATAATTGGTCTAAGCAATCTACTACAAGTTAGTTGATTTATTGTAGTTAATTTATTTGTGAAGAGGAAATTGAAAAATCATACCAAGGATTACATTCAACATGACCATGCAAATATTCTTAATGGAGGAGAGAGTGAATCCACTAGATGAACAAGTATATGATTGTGTCAAACTATATTTACAACACATTTTGTTTACATGTCATGGCTTATTCATAGATTTATCAAGATTACAACTTTTATGTGCGTCTTGCTGAAAGTTCTTAAATGTGTATAACAAATCATTGGACATAATATTCCACGATGAAGATGAGGTATTAATTCCGTGATGAAACATTATGAAACCATATTTTATTTTTTATTTAAAGAACTAAATAAGTATTAATGATTCGAAGTATTCTTTATTGACATAATGACTAAATTTTTATTACGAACTATTGATATGTATAAGATGAATATTTTTATTTTATACCAAATGTCAAGATTTGAATTTTTTGAATTTTGAACAATTCGGTGAAAGAATAAGTTATCACTTATCACTTATATCAATTAATATTGATTATGTTATTAAATAATATATAAAATTTAATATACATGATAAAATATTAAAATTAAATTATTTAATGATTGAATTAATTGATCTTATATTTAAAAAAAACAATTAATATAAATATAAAAAAAAAAATTTTGACACCTAACATAAACTGAGCTGTCCTTTTTAAAAGAAAATATAGACAGAGAGACAGTATCCTGTACAAACTTCACCCCTTACCCTCCAAAGGGGAGAACATAACAAAGAAAGTTGAAACGTGAGATAGACGAAGAGATCCTATTATGGGATGATGACAAATTTCATAAATACTCAAATCACGAAGAAAATAATTACCGCTACTATTATTATGACAATGAGTGCTCCTTCCCCATCTCTGTCTCTACTCTGTACCATCCCACTCACTGTCCCACTTCAATTATCCATACTCAACTGTGACTGAAAATAAAACAACTAAGAAATTATATGAAAAATAAATAAACATGTACTAAGTTAATTAAAAAAATATGAAATAAAATGAGTGACATAACGAAAGGAGGAAAAAAATATTATATCATTTTATTATATAAATGATATATCTCAATTAATAAACCATGCGCGCGTAATCATTTTCATAGAAAATAAGTACAAAGTACCAAGAGGCATATAAAACATGATCAAGATAAGAACATTAGCTCATCAGTTATTATATGAACAGAGTGCCACAAAACTAAAGAATCCTGAGTGATCAACCTAACGTGTTCATTACTTATTGCTTTCTCTTCTATATGTTTTCTTTCAAACTATATTATTGTCTCCATAACAACTACGATAAAAAAATATTCAGGAAAATTATCTCGTGAGCAATACGGCCAGCACCAAACCCGAGTCAGATTATAATATAAGCTGCATTTTTTTTACCACAAATATAATTTAATTATGATGCTAAGCTCTTTAACTGATATTCCTCCCAATAATACAGCAATAGTTTAAGCATTTCGGATAAGCATCCAAATAAAAATTTATTATAGATGTTAGAGAACATTGTCGAGATTATGCCCCCAACAGTCAACAGTTGAGGATTTTGTAGCAGAGAGAGAGATTATGTTTGGGTTTTAAAGGGAAAAGGTGGACGGGGATAACAGGTTAATTAATGTGAAGGTTCAAGAAACTTGTAGTTACTTATTTAATTACCCGTAAGCATGATTGTGAAAGCACAACAAATTTTGCCTACCACTAACTTTTGTTCGTATTCGTTTCAAAGTCTAAGATGGCATCATGAAGGATAACACTTAAACTAATTCTAGAAGTCGCGACAAAATAGAAAAGAAGTTTCACAATTAATTATGTATTTAGATTAATTATAGATTATTTATGTTTAAAATTATGACAATAGAACCTTATTAGATACAACATGCCTGCTTACAGACTTACAGTGCATTCCAATTTTTCAAAGTACGATTAATTAGTTGTGCTTTTGCTGTTTCACCACTATCCAACAAGAAAATTAGATATTTTACTTGATCACACCTCTCTGCCACATGATCTGAATAAAAATAGAGGATCTATATTTGGTTTTTGTAGTGACGTACATTCAAGTGTTTGAAAAATAGGAGTGGAGCAATAGTTATAGTATTTGATTAAACGTGTCGGCGTGAGAGAGAAGCAGCAATTAATAATTAAGTGCGTAAAAGTCGATTACTAAGGTGAAGGTGGGTGATAATTAAGGAGGCATTGAGAAGTGGTGAATTTTATGCGGGAGCAGATGATGATGAAAATACAGCATTTACGAAAAGAAAAATTGGGTAATGTGGATGCAGCAGCACATTGGATAACACAAGAAATTGAAAACAAAAGGGATAGAAATACACCCTTGACTAGACATGATAAATAAAAGCACTCTTATCTACAAATTCAAGAGCCCATGGTATTCGGCTTTTGCCCCAAACCCAGGGGTAAGTAAGCAGTAAGCACAAAAGCCAAAGGGATGGGAGCTGTAGACAGACTTGAAGTGGAACTGTACGTTATTCTTTTAATTTGGGTGACACATAGAACAAGTCATGATCTTAACTAAGCGTTGCTCCTGAAGGATCCAAGAGCTTTGATCGCTGCAGCTCTAAGAATATATTGGTGGTAGAATGCAGCCACGGCAGCTCCAATAAACGGTCCAACCCAGTAAATCCACTGAAATTAACAGTTATGTTAAAAAAATAATTAAACCTTGAATTCTCCAAATTTAAGGTTTCATGTTTGAGGTTTCACTTCACTTACTTGGTCGTCCCAGGCTTTGTCCTCGTTGAAGATGACAGCTGGACCGAAACTCCTTGCGGGGTTAATTCCGGTACCCGTGACAGGGATTGTTGCCAAGTGAACCATGAAGACGGCAAACCCAATGGGAAGTGGTGCTAACACCTTCATTTTTGAAACAATTGAAGAGTAAATTATATGTGTATTTACTATTTAATAAAAATAAATGAAGGGGGTGGTTATGTTATGTTATGTTATGCTTACAGGAACATGAGAGTCCCTAGCGTTCCTCTTAGGATCAGTGGCGGAGAAAACAGTGTAGACAAGAACGAAGGTACCAATGATTTCGGCACCCAAGGCGGTTCCTTTGTTGTAGCCATCGCTGACGAGGTTAACCCCACCTCCGTACCTGTTGTAGTAGGATTTCTGGAACCCCTTCGCCAACCCAGCACCGCTGATAGCACCGGCGCACTGCGCTATTATGTACAACAACGCCCTCACAAGCGACACCTTGCGTCCCAAGAACAACCCGAACGTCACCGCAGGGTTGATGTGTCCCCCTGATCAATCAACACACCAATTTTAGAAAATATATTCTATTTTGGGGTTGTTTTAAAGCGATGTGGGACTTACCAGAGATGCCGGCGGTGCAGTAAACGAGGATGAAGATCATGCCGCCGAAGGCCCAAGCGATGCCCAGAATGCCGACGCCGTCGCATTCCGTGTTGCCGGGAATGTTGGTGTCGGTCTGTCTCTTGTAGCCAATGATGGTCAAGACGGTGATGTAGAGGAAGAGGAGGGTGGCTATGAACTCGGCTATGGCGGCTCTGTACAAGGACCACTTGGTGAGCTCCTCGGGGTCGATCAAGGGCGCCGGAGGTGGGTCCGTGTAGTCCTTGGCCGAGTACTCGCCACCTTGCTCCGTCACTTGCTCAACGTCTTTCGCCATTTCTACTAAATTCTACTAGCACTCTGTCTTTCTCTGTGGAGTGGGGATGGAGTCGCAGAAAGATGGTATTTATGGAACACTCTCCTAATGAATCCAATTATTAATTAATTGCCTATGTGGCAACAATGACATGATTACCCTAATTAATTACCGTTTTGCCGCCCTATTAGCTTGCATGGTCCCACCCTGCTTCTATTTTCTCAATTATCTTTTCCTTCTGGCCCATCGTCCTTACTTCAACCGCTACATCTGCCTAAGCCCACCCCATCTCATGTAAATGCTGAATCAATTATTAGTATTACCCTTTAAATATCATAATTGAATAAATAAATTATTTTAAAGACACAAATAAATAATATAGGTCATTTAATTCCATCAGATATATAACTTAGACACGCCTTTTAGCAGCAACCAATACCCAATTCCAATACAACGGTCTCTTGATTTTCTGTCCACCAATTTAGAGCAGATTTTTGGATAAATTAAACCTACTCACCATAAATTTCACCTATAATTGAAAAGCATTGCCGTAAGAAATTTTAATATGACTTATAACAAAATATGTTTAACCAATCAGAATAGAAAACACAAGCTTAACAAAACTAATATCCTATGTCATTGATGTACGAGTCAAGTTAGATTCCAATTTCTGAAATACGATTTTGAGTTTAAACTTTACAAATAAAAAAATTACAATTAAAAGAAGAGGTCTTGGTAAATATAATTAATCAAAGTTTCTAGCTAACTTCATACTAATAATATAAAAACTCAAAAAATAGTTTAATTAAAATAGACTTATTTATCAAACATCCAAAACATTATTAGTGATTTAAATAGATAGAAAAATAAAATTTGACGACGTAATTTCCATATTAATTTGTATAATTGTCTCAAAACCAATACTTTGCTTACGTGAATTCATTGAACTTCATCGCATAAAACGAATTTTATACAACTCCAATCTTGTACGATCTCATGGCACATAGAAAACTGGAGTTTTTTATACCGTGGATTATTATTTTATTTTATTGTGGTGAAGGATGTGAAGTTATCTTTTTTATTTATTCGTTTTAGGATAATGTATGGGATGTGAAGTTATGATTAATTTGCCTGAACTATGGCATTTATAAAATTTGACTATAACCTTGTAGAATTTTCGAGCACCTCAAGTTAGTGGCTAAGAAATATTAGCATAAAAAATAGCAATAGATTAAGATATCTTATACCGGGAAATAAAAGAAAGGTATCAATCATTGATGATTTTCAATATTGTGTAATTGTTGATGTGATTAAAATAAGGAGAAAAGTAGTTGTCACTTTTGTTGGGTGACGAAGGCTTGCCAGATGAACTTATCTGGACGCACCTAAAATCAAATAGGTTCAGAACAAAAGGGTCATTCACCTTATCCTCCTCACAATTATGAGGCCACTATATTTGCAATTAAATCAATTCATTATGCAAAGTTTTAAATTAAATAACGATTTTGAACTGGGATTTAGGACCGTTAGTTTGAATTAAATTAGGTTCATATCGAATTTAAAGGTGAAAAAAATATATAATAAAAGAACAAATTCTACTAAAACAGATTCTACTTAATATATATCATTCAAGTCTTTTTTTTATAAAGATTAATAATCAATAAAACAGATAAATATTTCATACCACGTCAAATGTAAAAATAAATAGATAAAGTGTTTTAGGTTCCTGTTCTAATATTATATTTTCTGCATCTACTTTGATAATCCAACAAAAAGAAGAAGTTTAAACCATAAGACGAGGAATATTCGAAGTTTCCTGTGATTTCATTGCTGTCTTATTCAGTTATTTGCAAAGTTGTTATAAAATAATTTTAGAAAAGAGGTTGGGGAGAGCTGGAAAGAGTTCTAAATCAACTTTAAAGTTTCAATACATTATGGATAATGAAAAAAAAAATCCATACAATGAAATACTTTTTATATTTAAAAAAGATTGCACCTTTAATGCTATAAAAAATGCATTTTTATATTGCTGATTCCGATTGCGAACGTAAGAGTTTAAGTTAGTAGCACAATCTATTTAAAAATTATTATTATTATATATAAAATATAAATATAAATATTATATTTAGAAAAAAAATCTATTAAGAATAAAAAAAATAAGTCAAAAAGGATAAAACATAAAACAGAAAATAGGCAATAAAAGATAAAAATTAAGAAATTTGGAGTAAAGATAGATTAAAAAAACACAACATAAAACACATATTTCTATTGTCCTTAAATTCTGAGAGATGCAAACACACTCCTGAAGTACATGTGAATCTAATTGTGTTTACATATTATTATATAGGTGTAATATAAACTTATACACATGTTGTTACCGAAACCTTCAAACGAAAATTACTATGAATACTTAATAACCAATTATAGGTAAAAGAAAAAAAAAACAAAATATAATATAATATTTGATATATATATATATATATATATATATATATGTGTGTGTGCTAAGTTTTGATACATAACAATTTCTTGTCCTCTTCATTTTCTAAGTTATTACGCAAAATGCATTAATATGATTGAACATATTTTTAATATTATTTAAAACAAATAGATTAAAGAAATAGTCTCAGTTTCAATTTATTTGAAACAATGCTGTTTGCATTTTTATTTTTGTTATACTATTGCTATTTACTTTTATAAAATAAATAAATTAAAAAATTGTTCGATATATATATAGTCAATGCACTGCTGCCATTTTTTCCTTTCTCCTTTTCAAATAAATTGTTTTACAATCTTTCACGTAAGCATTTTCTTTACGTATAAAAATCTTATTTGATACTATTTGGATAACAATCAAGCAAATCTTTTCAAAAAAATTATATAGTATTAGTATTTATACTATTTTTTACTATGAATTGATTTAATATAATAATAATTAAGATGTATTTTTTTCTTGATAAATAGAGTTTGAATATCGTTGAAAAATATATATTATATTTTTATAAGCATCTAAATTTTTTTTTATTACTTTCATTAATTTTATAAAGGTCTCACATTAAAAAAAATTTAGACCAAAAAATATATTGAGTCAATCCTGATTATAATGACTTGTCAAGTGACTACACTTAACGGATCTCTATCAGCATCAAAAAGAAAACAAATTTCATTATCTACGATTCACATATTTATGAAACTTGTGTGTATATATAGTAATCTTGGCTCCGGTATGGAAAAAAAAAATTTAGTTATCGGTCAAGTTATATACTACACCAACTACATTAAAGCAACTCAAAAAGGTGAACTATGTCATCCTCTTATATGGTCTTAGAAGAAAATTTCTCCACATGCCTATGTATGTTCTACTTCCATATCAAGTATGATTATTACAATCCAACCACATAAAAATATGTTAGGATAACATGGAATTTAAGAGAAATCAACATAAATGGTATAAAAGTAAATCTTACAATACTATCAACGCAACATATTTCAACCTAACACTAACCCACAGCTTAACAACACAATATATGGACAACACCATGTACTAAACACGTCATGTTCACAACATAATTTATCAACTCAACAACATATATGAAACACTACAACTAAACATATGTATCACACAACTCCACAGTATCAACCACATATACACAATAAATTAACTATATGGGTCGTCATGCATTTCAACCAGAAGATCTCCTAAGTGGCTTGACTTCATTGAACCAACAACCCAATCTTTTCACTACTAAGCCACCAAAAATCGAATCTTAAGGAAGAAAAAAGAAGAGATCTAGGAAGTTGGAAGAGAAAATGGTCCTCCTTGGGTTCTAAAGCTCGTCTCTCCACGCTCTTTCTAACTTAAAAAAAAATGAATTTATGAGATTCACTTTTTTAGAGAGACATTATATACTCTTCTCTACTAGTCAACTTGACCTCTGCTCAAAGTCATCCCTGTACAACTTAAAACTTATAAGGAATTCTATTATTTTATAGAGTTTTCAACAATTTAACAACAATTTGATGCAATACAAATTTTAATAAAATCAACACTAATTATTAAAAATATATAGTTACACCGATAACAATCTTATATCAATATTGATTGGTACAAGTAACAACTCGTATCTCTTAATTGTTAGACAGCTGTGGCGGCCAGCACCGAAAACAAAAAGTCCATCCCTCACAGTTCATGGGAGATGTAGGTCTAGAGGCAGCTGACCGCTAGATATGTGAGTTGGAGAAGATCTTTGTTGTTCTGGGATGTTCCCCAGAAAAGAGGCTGGCATATGCTGTATATATGCTTGTGGGAGAGGTTGAACATTGGTGGAGAGGCACCTATTAGATGCTTGCTGCTAGAGGAGTCACAGTTGATTGGGAGTGCTTAAGGACAATGTTCATGGAGAAGTACTTCCCTGAGAGCGTGAGGCACGCTAAGGAGGCTGAGTTTATGAGGTTACACCAAGGAGGGATGACAATTTCCGAGTATGCAATAAAATTCGAGCACCTGGCTCGTTTTTATTCGCAAGGTATAGCTGAGGCCTGGAAATGCAGGAAATTTGCTGATGGTTTGAAATATGAGCTGAAGAGGGTGGTGGTGCCTATGGCCATCACAGAGTTCCCCGCCTTAGTAGAGAAGGCAAAAGTTGTAGAACAGTTGGAGGGTGGTAACCAGGTTGTGAGGACTACTGGGGGGCCATCTGGGTCCAAGAAGGGCGAGAGTCAGAGGAAGCCATATGATAGGCCCCAATCACAGCAAGGGGGTCCTGTTAGTAGGCATTCTTCCAGTACTGCTAGTGGAGGTAGACAAAGTGGAGGTGCCACTCTAAGATGTTTCAAGTGTGCTGGGCCCCACTTTGTCAGGGACTGTCCACACACGGAGAGCCATTGCTTCAAATGTCATCAGATGGGCCACGAGTCGACCAAATGTCCTACTAGGGGTATACTAGAGAGGAGCGCTCAGAGGAGTGATGTGTAGAAGGCTGAGACTTAGAGGAGTAGTGCACAGAGAGCTGATACTCAGAGGGGTGACATACCCACTACTGCTGGTAGGGTATTTGCCTTGACAGGTGCTGAGGCTTCGA